TAAAAGAAATTCCCTTCTTTTCAATTCTGCTTTCTGATCCAATTCAGATCTTCATTATGCTTTGCTTGAACCGTGGCAATAGCCCCTTGCTGCCCTTTCTTCCATCCTCTCCCCTCCTCAAGACATACTTAACATGCAGAAGTTCATCTTCTCCAAGAGAAAATCAGTTAGAATTCACAGGCAGGCAAAACTAGAGTACAAACAACGTAAATGGTTAGCCTAAGCTTCTAGTAGAGATGATAACCATCTCGTACCTTCTGTTCTCTTTGCTTTGCTCCCTTTAAATTGCATATAAGAATAATTAAGGATCATCTACATTTTATCCAAAAAGATGGAAAGCTTCCATTTTAGACTGGTGACTCACAGCACCACCCTGTATTTACATCATGGTTCACACTTTCATATGTGTATCATTCAGTTCATCCTAAAAACAACTCTGTGATGTGGGAAGCATAGTTATGTTCACTATCCCCCAGTTGCAGTCTGAGGAATCTGAGTTGTTGTTATGTACTGTCAAGTTGGACCGGACTCATTGTGACCCCTCCTTGGGTTTCTGAGGCAGTATCACTAGGAAGTAGATTGCCCAACCTTTCGAGGAGTGGCTGGTGGGTTTGAACTGCCAGCCTTCTGGTTAGCAGTCAAGTGCCTTAGGCACTATGCTACCAGAGCTCCTAGAGGAATCTGAGACCCAGCTGCATTAAGTAGCCTGTCTGGTTCCACAGCTGGTTAACGATGCTGGAACTTGAATTCATGAAAGTTCAGTGCTTTTCCACATGTGGCCTTCAACGTTCATTTGAGAAAATAGCCTTAGAAAACTTATAATAGGATTAGACTGCCAGCCTGAGTAACTTGCAAATTTTTCACTTTTCCAAGAGCAGTGAGGAAAAACCCAGGTCTGCTGTCCCTGAAAATGTGTGAGGCTGGCATCATCCGAAGTTGCCCAACCACAATATGTAAGTTACCTATCTGGGTGTAGAGATGAAGTGCATAGAATTTGGAGGCCATTTCCATTAAGAGATGCCAACATAACTTGAGTAAGAATTTCATATGGTCAACCATGAAGAATGAGAAGGGGGACTCATCTCTTTTCCTTGTGAAACTCCAGTAGAATTAGTTGCAATTTTTCGGTCTAAGGTCACCTGAATTTGTGGTTTTCCACTGCTTCAGGGGAGAAAAGAATATTTTAAAATAACATTTTTCTATTTCTGTGGGGAATGGATGAGCATAGAGATAAAACAAGGCTGGCCATGAGCTGGTGACTACTAATGTTGGTTGGTGAGTACATCAGCATTTACCATGCTTACCATTCTATTTTATACATGTTTTTAAATTTTCATAATATAAAGTTAAAAACAACAACTCTCTAAGTATTTTCTGTGGGGCAGTCTAGAAATAAAAGTAGTGGATTCCATAATTGAAGCTTGTTGTTATGTGCCATTGAGTCGGACCCAACTCATAGTGAGTCTGAGGAGTGGCTGGTGGGTTTGAACCATCAGCCTTATGGTTAGCAGCCAAGTGCCTTAGGCACTATGCTACCAGAGCTCCCAATTGAAGCTTAGGATAAACAATTTATGTGATCCTTTTCTTGAAAGGCCAGTGCGTGTTAGCATATTAAAGACTCTAAGGAGGCGGTTCAAACCCACCAGCCATTCCTCAGAAGGAAGATGGGGCCATCTACTTCCATAGTGATACTGCCTCAGAAACCCAAGGAGAGGTCGCTATGAGTCGGGTCCGACTTGACAGCACATAACAACAACACAAGGAGTCCTGCGGTAAAGAGAACTTTTCTCTCTGCTTAACCCACATTCTGTTCTCAAAACTAACTTGTCTGAGATTTATTTTTCCCCAAGCAACACCTGTGAACAACTTGTCAAACTAGTCCTCCACGGAACACACTTGAAGGAATCTGATTTAAAAGACCATGTTGTAGTGCTGTTCATGAGAGAGAACAAAAACCAAAGACAGTTTCCTGCTCTTCTTGCCAAGACTAGCTTTTTGGAAACGGGAAATATTTTTCTTGGATGACAAAGGAAAACACCTGCTGATCCTGAGTCATTCCCATAGCAGACCACCATGAGGGGATCTCAGACCAGGCCCACGTGCTGGCTCATGGACACACGGCTACTACAAACAGGAACAGAATAAAGGTAGTGATTAGCACTAGCCTCTGAGGTCAACCTGTGTTCAAGTGGGTGAGCATGGGCAAGTTTCTTAACCTCTTTGTACCTGAATTTCTTTATAAAGCAGGGATTTGAACAGTTCCTAAACTTTATAGTAGTGTTGCCAGACTTAGCAAAAAAACAAAACAAAACAAAAAAACCAGGACATCCAAATATTACCAGACCCAAAAGTCCCTGGGTGGCGCAGATGGTCTGCACATGGCTAATAACCCAAATGTTGCCTGTTCAAATCTACTCAGCGGCACTGCAGAAGAGCCAGGTCTGGTGAGTGGCTTCCATAAAGATTACAGCCAACTTGCCTCCGAAGTCCATTGGTTCTGACTCATAGCAACCTCTCCTTGGCTTTCCAAGGTGGTGTCTCTGTGGAAGTAGATTGCCCAATTGCCCTTCTGAGGAGTGGCTGGTAGGTTTGAACTGCCAGCCTTCTGGTTAGCAGTCAAATGCCTTAGGCACTATGCCACTACACAACCCCTATTTAAAATAATTTTTTTTGTTGTTTATAAGAAATTCAAATTTAATTAGGCATTCTGTATTGTATATCTGGCAACCCTACCTTATAGGATTGTTGGAAAGATGATGTGATATAATCCGTACTGACCTCTCAGAACAATGCCTGGCATGTAGTAAGCACTCAATTAACTATTTGTTATTATTATTGCTTTAATCAGAGGTACTTTGTTTTTATTCCTATCCTCCCAATAATTTTCTAAGGATTGCTGTAAATATATAATTTTACCATTGATAGTTAAATGTCCTCTATAATCAATAAAAAGAAGAAAATTGTATCTTCTGGCTTAAATGCTGAAATAGAAGTTGCTTTGGAAGGGCCAAACTGCTTTGTAAGAGCTAAGAAAGATATATTAAGTTCACCTTCATCTACCGTTAATGGAAAGAAGCTGTGGTAGGGAAAATAGTTAAGATTAGCCTTGTGCAATATATATATATATATTTTTCAATCATCGAGTATTTATTGAGGATTATGATCACTGCATTAGAAGGAAACAATTAAATACAGTAAAAGATGCTATTGGCATAGTTGCTGTTAGTGCTCGTTCATTTTCTCAATTGGAT